AATTTAGAGGGTTAATATGTTGTAGGGTTGTTAACCAATGTCATGAAACATGTGTACTACTGTTTCATGAGAAACTATTTGTTCTGTAAGCCTTCACCTGAAGTACAATAAAATATTTAAAAAAAAATTGATTGCAAACCACTAAATTGATTTCATGACCCATTGACAGTCTGTGACCTGCAGTATGAAAAACACCTCACTTTCTACCAAAAACTCATATTGAAACCCTAAGGTAAAAATTTCAGTTACCACCAAGGATCACTCTGTGATGGCCAGTCACTTCTGCCGTGTGGTTTGAGACAGTGCAGGCCATAACTCCTAGTCACTTGGCCAATTTTCATAGGCTATTCTCCACATATTCCCATCCCTCACCAAAAACTACCCATCAACCAACAAACCAACAAGCCTAACATGGAAAAAAGTTTTTCCACAGAAATATATGATTACTCTCTAGGGGTAGTCTATTAGCTTAGTTTTGTTTTGTTTTGAATTGAGATATAATTTACATAACTTAAAATCCACCCTTTTTAAAGAGTACAATCCAGTATTAGAATATTCACAAAGTTGTGTAACCATCACCACAATCTAATTGCAGAGCATTTCATCACCCAGAAAGAAACCCCGTACACATTAGCAGCCGCTCCCCTATTCCTCCCTACCCCAGCCCCTGGCAACCCACTAATTTGCCTTCTGTCTTTATGGATTTGCCTGTTCTAGAAATTTCAAATAAATGTAATCATACAATATGTGGTCTTTGTGTCTGGATGCTTTCACTTAGCATACTGTTTGCAAGGTTCGTATATCGGTATTTCATTTCTTTTTATGGCTAAATAATATTTCATGGTATGGATATACTACATTTGTTCATTTTGTTTATCCATTCATCCACTGATGGACATTTCGGTTGTTTCCACCTATTATGAATAATGCTGCAATGAACATTCGTGTACAAGTTTTGTGTGACCATATGTTTTCAATTCTCTTGGATATATACTTAGAAGTGGAATTTCTGGGTCATATGGTAACTCATAGTTTAACATTTTGAGGAATGGCCACAGCAGCTGCACCATATTACCTTCCCATCAGCAATATATGAGTGTTCCAATTTCTCCACACCGCACCAACACATTTTCCACATGCATCTTGTGTGTATGTGTGTCTGTGTGTGTTTTCTCATCTTAGTAGATGTGAAGTGGTATCACATTGTGGTTTTAATTTTCATTTCCAGGATGACTAATGATGTTGAGCACTTTTTAATGTGTTTATTGGCCATTTATTTGTCTTCTTTGGAGAGATGTCCATTCAAATCCTTTTTACTTTTAAAGATTGGATTATTTGTCTTTTAATGTAAAGTTTTACAAATTCTTTATATATATTCCGAATTCTAGTCCCTTATCAAATATATAGAGCACTGGTGGCACAGTGGTTAAGAACTGTCAACCAATTCTATTTCTTCTTGTGTTAATTTAAGTAGTTTGTGCCTTTCTAGGAATTTGTCCATTCCATCTAGGTTACCTAATTTCTTGGCCTTACATAATAGTAGTCCCTTACAGTCCTTTTTATTTGTAAGCAATGGTAACGTCCCCTCTTTTATTTCTGATTATACTGATTTGAGTTTTCTCTCTATTTTTCTTGGTCAGTCTACCTAAAGTTTTATCAGTTTTGCTGATCTTTACAAAGAAGCTATCTAGTTTTATTGATTGTCTCTATTGTTTTTTAATTTATTCTATTTCATTTATTTCTACTTTTATTCTTATTTTCTTCTTCCTTTTACTTGTTTTGGTTACTTTACTCTTCTGTTTTCTTAAGATAGAAGATTTGGTTGTAATTTGAGATCTTTCTTCTTTTTTAATATAGGCATTTACAGCTATAAATTTCCCTCTAAGCACTGTTTTAGCTGCATCCCATAAGTTTTGGTGTGTCTTGTTTTCATTTTTAATCATCACAAGGTATTTTCTAATTTCCTTTAGGACTTCTTCTTTGACTCATTGGTTGTTTAGGCGTGTGTATAGTTTTACAAATTTTTGAATTTTCCAAATTTCCTTCTGCTATCGGTTTCTAATTTTATCTCATTGTGGTCAGAGAACACACTTTGTATGATTTCAATCCATTTAAATTTGTTAAGACTTGTTTTATGACCTAACATATGGTCTATCTAACATATGGTCTATCCTAGAGAATATTCAACATGGACTAGAGACGAATGTGTATTCTGCGGCTGCTCGGTGGAGTGTTTCATAGATACAATGGAATATTATTCAACCATATAAAGGAATGAAATATTGATATAAATCACAATATGGATGAACCTTGAAAACAATATTCTAAGTAATACAAGCCAGACACCA